TCCGATTTTGCATGACCGCAAAAATTCGTCGTGCACCTCGGCGTGCGTTGGATCGTCCAATCATATTGGCAGCAAGGTCTTCAATAAGTTGAGTACGAATGAATAGACTGAGACGATACGATGAACAAACCTGGTATGAGAGCCGACAGTTTGCGATTTGCGTCATCTCGTGTGCGAAGACGCTCTTCAGCAGTACGAGGTGCACCTGGAGGTTTCAGTTGACCACCTGGCCATAATCCTTCCCTGAATATTTGGATGTATGACATGAGGTGAGGCTCATCCATGAACATCTTCACGGTTTCCCTCGATTTCCTACCCAATACATATGAGATTACGATATGTTGTAAAAGATGATATTACGTACCTTTCAATGGTTCCACCAAACACTTGCTGTAGAATGATCACGATAGCTTGACGTCTCAGCCAATTGTTCTTCTTGTCCAATTCGAACACAGCTAGAATTAGATCACAAATAGGCGAAGAGAATGTCGAGGTACTGGTTTCTCCATCGATAGGCTTCAGGTCACCAGGAAGCTGTAACAAACCGTCCGCAGAATTTGCCTTTCCTGATGCCCTCAACGCTTGAGCAACGAGGTCTTCGTCGTGTACACCGGACCCAACAATTCCAGCGAGTTCTGCCGCTTGAGTCGTAAGTCTTTGGATGATGACATCAAGCATGGATGGCCCGAAGAACATATCGTCGATGCTTTCTGCGACGGACTGATATACAGTACGTACAAGGTCTTTCCCGGGGAAAGCAGATGAAGCAGGCCCTTTGGCATTGACAGCAGCTTGATTGAATGCAGAGTCACGAGATAAGAACGTCCTAAGTTCATTGCTCTCACATACCGCAGGTATCGTGACGAGACCCTGCACAAAGGTCGGGTGAATAATAGATATGCAATTGGGCGAGGGTGCCTACCTGAAGGTATTTTTCCAATGCTATTCGTCGCGAATCTACAAAACTCGCTGTAAGAGACGTAACCAGTCGCTTTCCTGGAAAATCCAGATTCCGCACAAGAGCATACTTCTCACGAAGTCTGTTGTGCATGTTGAAGAACTCGTTATAACGTCGAGCGATGACCCAACCCGAAGCGAAACTTCCATCCGGCGCAAGTTGATGCACCTCAATAAGATATCTCGTAACAGACTTGCCATCTTCATCCGCAGCCGCAGAATTGACAATGGAAATCCTAGTTCGATCTGAGACTAGCCTATTCGCGGACTCTTGTTGTTCATACTGTGTCTTCTGGAACTTGAGTTCCCGAATCTCCCGGGTGAGCGAAGACTTCGATCTTCGTAGAAGTTTCAGCTCTTGCTCGTCCCCAGTAAGCTCTGCTTTCTTGATGAGCGTATCGAGCATACTGTCTTGTGACTGTAAGGCATCTATCTTGTCAGAAAGACGAGCGATCTCGTAAGACAGTTGAAGGTCGCCCGGTCCTGCGAGTTGATATGAACCATGAGCGGTTTCCTCTTGGATGGGAGGCAAATCTCCCTCATCATCTGAACCTCCCTCCTCGTCACGGCGGGGAGGCGGCAAAGAAGTTATTGATGCGGAAAGGTCTTCTGGCAGAGCACGTGAACGAGCATCGGTATCTTGGTTGTCCAAGGCGATGATGTCAGTTAAGGCTGCTTGTATGGCTTCCATTCGTTGTGACTGAACCTTTATCGCAGGGTCGTCTGGATCATCGAAGAGCGGTGCACGAGTAGACGGTGCATCCTTGTCAGGTGAAGGGGACATGAGAAGTTCGAGATTCGAGGGGGATGCACGTTGAGGCTGCGAATTAACGGAGCCTAATGAAGGTGTGACTGACTGACCTGTCCCTTCTCGTTTGTGCGAAGGGAAACTAAGGACTGGGAATGATTCAGAACGAAGGATCTGTGGAGAGACAGTCGATAGACGATTCGTTGAGGCCTCACGCCGATCCCAGATCTCCGTATTGGCTCTGCGAGGTTGGAATTCTGCGTCTCCGAGGACTTTGAACCAAAGCTCAGAGCGTTTGAAGTCATCAAAGTCGTGTTCCATATCCTTCTCTACTTGTCTCTGTGCGAGCATGACACTCCTACGAACTCGACGCTCCGCAGCCAGTGTAGGTGGGTCGTCCTCGAGTCCAAATGTTTTGATGGCATTGACATGCTTTTGTGAAACGGCTGAGAGGGTAGAGTCAGGTGTTGACCCGGAGAAATATAGTTCGTTCATCATCGAGATGTCTTCTTTTAGTGTAGCAGAAAGTGATGGATCCCTGAGTGCTTCATCTTCATCTCCGGAGCTATCGGAGTCAACAGACTCAAGAGGGTTCTTGAAACTTTCAACTGTAAGCCAGAACTGAACCAACAGAGAGCGATTACGTCTGTCCATGAACTCCATAAAGTATGATAGAGAACTTGGGTTGGTCAATATGTCGCGTAATGTTATACGAGTGGTTGTCGGAGGTTCGTTATAAGTGGACGATGTGGTCTGTACAAACCGTTAGTCCAATTTAGGCCAGAGAATGTAGGAAAACATACAGGATCTGCCTCGCCGCCCAAGACAACAATTCGTTTCTCCACCTTACGCTTAGCTGTGTACAGACGGTCGAGAAAAGCGACTATGTCTTCGGTTTTCTCCCCGTTGATCCAATCTTCATTCTCATGACTCGCTAACGACAAGACTCAGACTCTGCTAGGGACAGTAAAATATATTGAGAAGCTAACCAAGTAATGTCCTAGTGCGCCGAATTTCCCCCATGATATCGTTCTTCAAACGCCGGGCATCGAGTAATGAAGAACATCGACTGATGCTACGAAGGAAAGACTCAAATTGACGAGGATCCGTACGAATGGTAATCGTTGTGTCTGTCCTGGCTGGAACGGGATCATTTGGAACACGAGACTGTGGAAGGGGTATCTGCGCTTCCAGCACGTTCCGAACTTTGGAAATAAGCCGTCTAAGATATTCATAAGCATTAATAATTCCGCGGAAGTACACGTAACCTACTGCTGTCGTATGGCAGCTCCAGCCTAGAGGTCAACATATTAGCGACAGTCGGTCGAAGTGCGAGATAACATACCACTTGGTCAATCGACTTGTTCCAAAAGTCAGGATCAGACAACATATCCATGACTGGATACAGAACAGAGGATGCCACAATTTCCCGAACCACGATCTTCAAAGCCTTACTTTGACCCTCCTTTTCAGGAAGAATATACGGCAATGCCTTGTCTACTATCCCTCGAAGATGCGCTTCTTCGGACTGTTTGGTGAATGTTGAAGACAGATTATCTACAGCAGAATGAAGCTTTCCACCTCCTTTGCTCGCGTAACGGCTAGCGAGCAATAAGTCAAGTTCTTCAGACTGAGTGAGACGACGTTCCAAGCCGGCCCCACGTAGAGCAACTTCAGACTGACGAAATTGCTCGATATGAGCAGTGACTTTTGGAAGAATACGCTTCACGATCAGAGCAGAAAGGTCGAGACCTTCCACTCGCGTGATAAGACGCTGCAGCGAGCTATGTATGGTGGCAGAGACTGCGGTAGGGAATGAGGGAGAACTGGAAATTTCCTTGTACCAAATGAGGACGAAATCCCTGACAATCATAATGAGAATATCATTGAGCGCAGCTGAAATGACAGGCGAGTCTGGCAGAAGGGGCGAAAGGGATTGTGGAGACTTGTGGGACCATTGTGACCGTGTCAGAACTGCTTGCCATGCTGCAGGGGTAGAGAATAAGAGGGGACGAGCAGCTGTACGGAATGCATTAGGTATAGGTGGTCGCGTCGAGTCCAGTGAATACCCAATAGCAATGTTGAGTACTAGAAAAGCAACAACCAATAGGACAAGGAGAAGGGGGATCAGGCAGAGAAGGACGATCGGAGAAGTGAATGCATGGAGAATACTAGGTAGGATGAGAGCAATCACAGCGAGGAACAAGAGACCATGTCTGCTGAAGCTTAGCAGCATCTTTGCACGGACATGGAGGGCGGGTTCAAGAGGCTCTTTACCCTCGCAGTCGCGTGCCTCCCTTCATTCACCCGAGCGCCCACGTCATTTCCGAGTCCGAATGAATATTACTACGGCTTCTATGAAATAGTATACAGAGAGAATGTAGAAACTGGAAAAGAATTCAAGGCATCAAATCTGACTATGCGCCATCGCCACGCCGAAGACGATTGAACTTGGGCAACATGTCCTTGAGATAATCCGCATGCTTTTTCCGAAGGTCTGCCTCTTGGATTTTGCCTCTACCACTCCATATACGCCTCTCTGCCGCGGGACCATAGATAACAGTGTTCTCGTCGAGGATTTCGTCTTCTGTCGGAACTACCAGGCAACCTGCACCGACCACGCAATATGACGATATTCGAACCGTATGATGTACTCTTGCCTTGGTAGAGATGGTGTTAAAGTTACCAACAGTTGGAGATTCAACACCTGTATTTTCGTAAGCAGAGCCACAAAGTCCAGACACTATAGTCACTCACGGCAGCCGATCTCAAAGAGATTATCGTCACCTATTCTCATAACCTCTTTCCGCCTTCGTGCTGTTGAAATGACATCCAAATAGAACATGTAATACACGTACCGGTTTACTATAATGGCACCCTCCTCGATGATACACCCAGACCCTATCACGATCGGCCCAGCAATAGCAAAGATAGTTGCTTTGGGATGTACTATGGTCCCTATAACGATATTCAGAGATGATGTTAAGTCTGTATAACACAATACAAACCTGCACCAATTGTGATATCACCCTTGAGTTCTACATCTTGGCAAACTATTGCTTTCGAATGAATAGTGAACTTATCACGTCTTGCTTATAGTAGGCCTGGTAAGTTGCTGACATATTCACGAAGGCAAGGAAATACCAACATGGGTGCCATGTTGCGTAGACGGTGGCACTGTGTAAGAAAGTTGCTTGCTTCAGCCTTCAAATTAAGTCTTAAGCTCCGCAGCCTCTGCTATGCCGCTTAGACCATGATGAAGGGCTATAACGTCTTGTGTTCCTTGTGTAGATATGACCTCTTAGCTCAGTGGTAGAGCGTAAGATTCCAGCTTTGCTGAGTCATCTGCTTAGTCAGCCGGCTTCCTTAAGGTCATCCGTTCAATCCGGGTAGAGGTCATTTTTTTTCACGCCTCACTTCATGGCGAGCCACCCTTTTTCATCAGCAAATCGTATGCAGAAGAAGACGAGGTATCTATATAAATCATTGCAGCAGGGATCAGTGATCTCAAGGAATAAACAATGTGAAAACACTGAAGACACATTAACAGAATTACCATACTAAGTAATTTAATATTCTACAATAACCGTATATAGGACGATATTTTTCCAATGTTTATTCTTTGATCCTAGAGCAAAATACCCGCTGTGTATTCCAGTGACAAACGCTCTCTCATTATATGTGGGTACTAATGAGCCTATCCTCTATGTAAGATAAATAAAAGCCTGTATCACGAGTCCTCATCACCATCTCGTACTCTCTTATACAAATTAATGATCATGTCATTCGCCGTGAGTGTTATGATCCTAGATATTTCAACTTGTGAATCGCGAATGGAACGTATCAAATGATATGAACTTACGTGTGTGGAGCGATTCGCAAGAAATGAGCCGTAGAGCCTGCAAATAAATAGTACAATCAATCTATGTCGTGACACTAATCAATGACAAGGACAGACCTTTGTACCATCCAAGTACACCCTCCGCCTTAGCTGTCTTCCAAAGACAGTCTATCGGATTTTTGTACAGCACACCAACATGCTTCCCATTGGGCAACACTCTTGTTGGCTGGTTATACATTCTAGTTAATGTCTAAAGTCGACAGAGAAATACGTCAGGAGACTAGACAAGATGAGAAAATATGTTTCAACGCACAGTATCGGCAGGTTGCATCATGATTAGCTTAGACAAAGTCAATACACCAAATTATAATTATATGTATAAGCGAGATAGTATTTACCACACACGTCCCCGATACTGAACTACTCGCCAGATATGTCCATATACTATCAGGGGCGGAGATGCCATGGCTTACGAGTAGGTTCTTCGTCCAATTGTAAGTAGGGAGTTGAACCTGTGTGTATGATTTAAAATATACCGATGCCCATATTTTTGAGAGCAAAATCACGTACGGATGACCCCATAGACGTTCTTAGAACAGCGGCATCTACACCTCGTACAAGACCCCTCCAGCCTTGCTGACCAAAAATAGTCCGTAGTGCGTCGAAATAATTTTTGTAATTATGTTGTGCTCCAACGGGCAGTGCAGGTGAGTATGCCTATAGTCAACGTTAATAATTATGGAGCAACTTGGGCATTCAAATGAGCACCTGTATCCGAGCTTTGATCATGAATAGAGGGTTTCCCAGCACCGCTTAAATAGGGTTGAAATAAATGAACTGATGACTGGGAGCTATAACGACTCGAGCTTACCACCGACAGCGCCGCTGGCGGCACCTGAAATTACAGACGTTACGGGCATTTGGTCGGTAGGTTTGAGACCGACGAACCGATTTATTGTATGTCGGATTGGTTCATAAAAGCCTACGACATATTTAGGAATTTGGGATATACCTGTAGAATATTGGGTAGCACTCACCTAATCGCGAGCCATTAAGGAGAATCTTATATTTTGTCAGACTCACTGTAAGAGTGTTGTCCTAATTATCTCTCACCTGATAGCAATACTTGAAGAGGAGCGTGTTCAATCACCTGAGAACTCGACAAATTGGAATGACTTACAGCTGGACCAAGTCCTCGTTGAATACCCCGCACTCCTTCATGCTTCCACGTCTTCACAAACACATCCAGAACATTTCTGTAAACCTTCTTGCCACCGTCCTTCGCAAGTTCACCTTGCAGTTGTAAGCGTGTCTTGGCCACTTCAGCGGGATTCGAGAAGGTTACCTAAATGTCGACCTAGGTAAGCTCTCGATCGAGTATGACGCAGTGCATGTGGTCTGACGAACTGCTACACATGCCGCGATACCACCGAGGACAAATCCCTCTGCGGTTGAAACTGGCTGGCCTTTTTTTGGTGTCGAACTCATTGGATTACTGAACCTCTATAAAGTGAGAAGGAAGAAAATAGAAATGACAAGAGAGTGTGCTTCGGCCGAGATGAACGCAGGGTACATACGTTCGACATGCTAAGCGCATAAACGATACATAGGCGCTAGAGTAGCTCTACATTACAGTAAATTGATTACGTCTCATTACATCAACTCTATTTCTCAAAGACTCTACAGTACAGCACCTCGAAGTCGTGTATTTCGATTGGAGGTAGTTAGAGACCCGGCTTGGAGTTGAACTTCCAACCATCCTCTTCAAGAGCTGCTATCGCCACCTCGACTTTCTCCTTTGCTACAAGCACGTAGTCTGTATTCCTGTGAAACAGTCAGAAGAAATTTGTCACTAAAGGGGTACAGGACGAACCATGTCGATATAGCGAAGACAGGAACCTCAGCGGTCTTCAACGGTGCAGTAAAACCTGCGACAACCCCGGTCACATCTATGATCGAGGATCAAAACAAGGCTGTTGATAGAATCGAAAAGGGGCAACATACCGAAATCCATAGGTCCTGCGATCTTAATGCATCGCCAGCTTGCTTCACTATCACCTTCTTCGGCTTGTCCAGCAATAGAAATCTCTTCATTGGTTCGAGTCACTGATATCAACTCTGCCGACGGGTTGGTAAGTTTTCGCAAAACATCCTCTGGGATCACTTCGTTGTGCTTGAGTTGCTTGACAAAAAACAACCCATCGAGTAGCTCCAAGCGAAAAGCTTCGTGGTCAGCAGGTGATGGAGGTGGCATGATGATGGTGAGTAACGATATCCTCGTTCAAGGTTTTTTTGGCTCTTATATGCGATCACATGGCCCGTGTCTCGCACTGGTGGCCGGATGCAGCAGCCTTTAAGAACTTCTAAGGTTCACAGGTGGGACTCATCTAGTATGTATGAACTAGGTTCCTTTAAATTACTTTGCAGCTCCAAATGAAGATTATTCGTTCTGACCACGAGTCAGTAACTTCGCTCACACCGTCGCATCTCACTGTTCCACTGGCACTACTTACCAGGCCCAATTCTCCAGTTTTTATCTATCTATCGAGAGGCCCGCTGGAGTCGGGCCCTAGACTTCGGTTATCCTATGTGCCCATGCCGGTTGACCCAAAGCGGAAGAGCGGCGGTGACACAATGCCATCAAACAGACCTGTGTATCTACAGAATAGGAAACTGAATAAGATTGCAACACCGGTACCTATTTGATGTTCACTCTTTGATCCGCCTCGATCCCTTTTCCTCTGGCTGTTTGGTTTTCCACTCTTTGATCCGACTACAATTCGGGCGAACAAAATATTTCCTATTTCTTACTACTTATGTGTTACAAGATCATATACGAACAAGAGATCAAAACGGCCATTGCAAGCCTCCTAGTTTCCGTCGTTGCGGCACTGTGCATTTTTTTTGAGCAAGAATCACCAGTGTATGAACAATTACGACTCACGCAGACTGAGATGGAAGTTCCACCACATGAACCTGAGTTAGGGTCGGGACGGCAGGCATACCTATGGGTTATACAAGGTCAGTCACAAACACGCATCGACTATTCAATTCAAGTACTGACCTCAGCTTAGTAAAGGTGTTCGTGTACCCATTGAAGGTAATAGGAGCTGGGGTGCATGAGAAGATGCCTTGGGTACAAGGGTTCTGGTTGGTGGTAAGCCCATCGACGACGTTGCAGGCATCGTCATACACATCCCCTGTGAAGGTAACGTCAATATCAAAGAGTCCCCTGAACGAACAGATAGAACGAACATCGGTTGATTCCATTTCCAAGGCTACGGACGTTGCCAATACCGTAGTTGAACCCTGGGCAGATGGCCACAGCGTTGCTGACGAGGAGGGCGACAGAGGCAACAGAGAGGATGGTGAACTTCATGATGAGATTGGGGGTTGTCGTTCTCGAGGAGAATACTGAAGATTTCTAGTCATTCTCTCCCTCCTTTTATAGATTTCTGTACCTCATACCGGCCACCGTAACTCGTACGGCGAACCTTGCCCTCCCTTCAAATTGCTTCAAACGCTCATAATTCTGCGCATGCCGCTTTCATCACCTGGAGGGTGCGATGCACATCGCATTGGGGTAGCAGGTGAACAGGGTGATCTTTACATCCGCACAAGAACGGATCACAATAGGAGTGCTGCATTTCAATTGGAATGTATTCGTTCACCAAATACTTGTTGGGTACAGGTTTCGACCTATTTGTGCCCTAAAATGGACCAATACCCCTCGAAAACCAAAGTCGCGGGCTGTCCATTGCCTCTCCGCATTATTACCCAGTGGAAGTGATTCGAGATGGATCAGACAAACCAGAGACAAACGTTAACTTTGTGCTAACACATTTGTATGCTTTCTGACATTCACGCTGGGCTCGCACGGCAATACCAAGGGCCATCAATGTTTCAAGGCGAGAGGAGTCGAGAGTATGTGTTTATTAACGTTGGGTGATATCAAAAGTGTAGCATTAATCAAACATGCGGAGTAATATTAGATCCACCTAATGGTACCTTTAGACTTTCAATGCAGTGCACGCTTCAATACACATCATTTGTTCTGAAGCTAGACTCGATACTCTATGTAACGACTTCGCATTTCACAAAAACGGCGAGCACCACTCTTAAATTCGAAACAAACGAACCAGTGCGGTAGCTGGTCATCCACAATCTGATGAAGTTTCAACGCCTAGACAATGCAGACAAGATCAAATCGTTTTACAGGTTCGTAAATAGTACAGCTCGACTCATGTTTCCGAGGTACACCCTTAAATATACATTATCATCATCACAGCACATTTCCGTCCATGCGTTCACGGGTCATAAAAGGATTGAGGGTGATCGCCCACTTTAAGCTGAAACAATCGACAAGGTGAAGTCGACGGCGTGACTGCTGCCAGTGAATACGGTTTGTTGAGTCGTACCACTTGGCGTAGCATCACTGGTGAACGCAGTGGAACCCGAGAATGCAAGAAGCAAATTGCCTCCAGAAGAGACCTATAATGCGCGCATAATCAGCACCGTCATATTGACACAGCTTGATCCATATATCAAAACTTACTGC